CTTATAAAAAATGCTCAAAAAGCTCTCGAAAAACGAATAGCTAATGCCAATGACAAAGAAGTTGTCGAAAGAGATGCAATCAATGGAGAGAATTTGGTGTAACCTAGATTTCACCAAATCTTATTTCTAGTATTTAAATATTTACTACTTGATCAGTATTTTTAAAGCTAGTATTCGAAAACGTGATATTACTATATGACATACAAAATAAGAATATTAAAAATATTTATACGAAAAAGATTGTATTAGAGATACGATAAAAAGTCATATGTTCTTCGAAGTGATTACAAATATCAGATTGTGATTAACGCTGTATTAATTGTAATAAATCTTGTAAAAATATTTTCAATTTTTTTAAGTTTATGATAATTATATCATAGAGCAGTGTAGCTTTAACCTAAATAGATTTAATTTTTGTAACTTATCAAGTGTAAGATAGTTATAAGCTGATGCTTATAATTATCTATCATTTTTATAAGTTACAAAAATTAAATCTACTTATATGTATATATAAGAACATTCCTCTAATCTTAAAGTTAGCTTAAAGATATCTAAAAAAGTTAGCTTCTAGTATTAGTTCCATTAACTTCCATTATAACTATTATAAGTTACAGTTCAGTTAACTTAAGTTAAAATTTTAACTTTGAAAGCTTAACTTGCAATTAACTTTAGATGACGTGAAGTTATTCACTTCAGTTATCTCTACGCTGGTATTAAGAGAACCATGCGTTGTCTGTAAGTTTTAGCAAAGTAACTTCCAAGTTAACTGGATCTTGACCTTTATCTTACAGAAGTTATCTTCCAGAATTCCTTAGGGTAACTCGGTGGCTGCTGGGGTGTCACATTGAGTCACAAATCCTACATATATCTTTCAGCGTGAGAGAAACAAAATAAGTAAGTCCTTATATGTGTGTGTATGTTGTGTTGTTAAAATGAGAATGAGACTGAATCTTAGTGCGCATGCGCTGCTTGACCAAAACAATAATAGAGAGAGCATTGAGAGTTGAAAGAGCTGTTTTGTACACGTAGCATAAGTAGTGTGTATTTTGTGTACATGCTTTAGTAGTAGAGCGTAGAGCGTGGTGTCGTGGTGTGGTGTGGAGTGTGGACTGCGGAATCACCGAGGCAGTAGTTTTAGAACACACAGAGACTAGGTACTTATTGAGAGAAAGAGAAAAGTTCACGGCTCACGGCACTTAAAGCGTATAAAGACTTACTCCGCATTCTCCCTATGCCGTGTGGGTAAAATTGTACCAGAAGGCCGAAGGTACTCTATGTACTATACCAGTGCACCTTGTTCTCGTGATCCGTGTAGTGTGTGAGTAAATATAAATTTTCGGGCTGGCCTAGCTGTTCTTGCGTGAATAAAAGTGGGTTTATAGTTTTTGTGTAATAAACCACAGTTAAAGCCTCGGCCGAGGACACCAACGTTATATCGTAAATTTAATCGTCAACATATTAAGCAGGTCTGGCCCATACTACGCTCTGACTCATCTTTTGTATAGCCAGAGCACTGTATATAGGTATATTAATCGTGAACGTTGCGCAATACTCGTAAGTACTAGCTATCACTACTGCACCGCTAAGCTGCCAAGAAGCAAAATATATAAAAAAAAAAAACAAAAAAAACAAAGAAACGTACAAGTATAGATTCACATAGGACAATAACATCCCAGTGTACGTAAACAAACGGGTCATTTCATTTTGTACAAGTGCATGAAAGGTGAGATTAGCAAGAACTGTGTTGGTAAACAAAGCTGTGTACGAGGCGAGGTGATTCACGCCCATTACGGTACATGTGTGTGTATATATAAATACCTACGTTCTGATCTGGCCAATGTGTATTTTTTGTGTGGGCATGTGAATGTTTTTTGGCATTAAATAAAATAATATTCAAGTCAGAGTTTTGGAATAATAAGATCAGAAAAAAACAATAGAACGTGTGTATCGTTTGAAAAACATTATTAGCTAAGATTCCTCAAAATCATTAGAGCGGGACGACATGCCAAGCGCTGAAGAGACAACATATCTGATCGAGGTTATGCCTGACACGAAAATTAACCAGGAAAGCTATACATCCCACGATGTTGATGTTCTAGTCTCACGCATTAAGCAGAATCTCAGGCTCTCGAGTCTTAAATCACGCTCCAGTCTTGTTTCGTCGCAGAAGCTACGCATGTCTCCCTATAGGCTTCCCTCGCGTACCTGGGCCGAGTTGGGCGCCTGCGAGCTCTGCTCCTCAAAAGTGACCAGCGGCGCCGTGTCCAAGCTCGATGCCGGATGTTACCAACATACCAGGCGAGATACTGATCACCTCCACCATCACCATTACCATCATTGTCATCAGCACCATCACCACAGACGGTACCGCAAATCTAGTTCTCTAGACCTCGACGACTCTTACGAGCGCTTTCAAGCGTTGTTGCACAGTGGAGCTCTGATTAAGGAGGCAGTTAAGAGGCTTCAGAGCAGTTCAGATGATGATCTGGTGAATGACGATGAAGACAGTAACAATTGTACGAGGGGAGCGACAAGTACAAGCGCAACTAGTGCAATCCTTGACTCAATGGACGAAGAAGAGGAGGAAGACGAAGATGATGACGACAAGCACCGGCAGCACCACTTTTTTGTCCGTAGGAAACATTTTGACTACGATTCCGAGGATGAGCCCAACGACGTTGAGATATGAAAATGATCGAGCTATCGATTCTGAACGGATCGAGAAAAAATGTGTATATATATTATGTGTTCTTCGCACTTTCGTAGTGGAAATTAAACGAGAAGAAACCGTGAAGCGGATTCCATGCGAAAAAAAAGATGGAGAACGCGCTACTTTGTCCTCCAAAATACTAATAATGGCGCTGCGTTTATTTGTAAATACATGCGAAGTATTAAATTGGTGGTATTATGGTATATTACTTCTTGGTGGTATATAGGTACATTACGAGTATACGTAGGTATGTACATACATACATCCCATCTCAGAGTTTCGTCATCGTATCATACTCGTGCACACAGCTTTTTCATTCTTATTAGTATTAAAAATATATGTTGTGTTCAAGGGCGAGTTAAGAATGTGAATAGCCCCACGTACACACTACTGAATTAAGGACAATAATTGCAGGGAAAGTAACAAATTTTAAATAAGCTTTAAGAATATTTAAATTTTAATAAACAACAAAAACATCGAACGAATACTCGAATATTTATAATTACACGTTAGATTCTTTTAAAGTTTATGAAATAGTTTAATGTAGGGAACTATGACTACCCTCCATATAAAAAAAAAAAAAAAAAAATCGGCAATCTTCCTAACTATTGATGTTATTGAGCATAATACTGGGTACAAGGCTTTTTGCGCCTAATGGATTTTATACATTTTTTCTCACTCAAATATGTACGTAGTTATTTAATAGCTATTTTATTTTTGTACAAAAATACTACAGTTAAACTGTGAATGAGAAATTTTTTTTATTTTAACAAATTCCTTTAATAAACAACTGTTTTTTATTTCAACTAATTCTTATTTTTTATTCTTGTGGTACGTATACGTGTCCCACATGAATACTAAATGTGAATGTTCGTGCGTAGTTCTATGTTGTATTAGGTAGGTATACATATAGTACTGATGCATTTTATCAGTTAATAAAAGAACGACCTACAACACGAAAGCAACCTCGATACTACTACTATTACCACCATATTCAGTTGATCTGTGGTTTGTGTACTGTTCTCTCTGCTAAGCAGAAAGGAAGAAGGAAGAAAAAATAGAGAACGAGTATAACAGAGAAAGCGAGAAAGAGAGCGCGCAAAGATGGGAACTCATGCCTGTGGTTGAGTTAGCCTATACGTATGCACCACACGTGGGTTTTTCTCCGAACTAAATTCTCAAAAGACTTTGGAGCGATTTCTTCACTTCTATTCCTATTTCAACAGCTAAGTCGTATTACAAATCAAGCTTTGAGTATTGAAAATTTTTAAGCTGAGAAGTCTCAAACATTCAAGCGCTACTGAAATTTTGAAATATAAGAATAATATTAGTAACTAACCAGACTGTTGAATGAAAACGATTATAATTATGCTCAGTATTTATTTACGAAGTTTTTATGTCGATCAGAACTAAGCGCTTGCCAAAAAAATATACAAAGAGACATCTAAGGCTGGGCCTAAACATTTTCGAATTATTTCTGTAACATGCTTTTGGAGCAAGAAGCAACAAGCTGGATAATCTCTTCACGTTTTATTTTCCAAGTTATCGTTTTGGCGACCAGATGGTATATCTTTTTCTTTCACATTAGTCTTCAGAGTGATAAGTTATACGCTCCGGGTTCTTGACAAAATTTTGTGACGCTCAGTCATGCATTTATTTTTTTGCATGTGCACAATTACACCGCATGAGAACAAAAAAAAAACCTCGTTCACGCAAAAAAAAGTTTTTTCGGTTTTACACACAAAGTTCAGTTTTTTGAACGCCTAAATATACTTATAGTATTTCCATATGATTATTTTTATTTTTATGCGATGAATAAAACAAAGAGAACTACTGGGAAACGAAATATGGTGGATTTAACGAAAAAATAAAAACAAAGAGACGTCGAGGATTAGAAATAAGCTTTTAAGGTCAATAACTATACACAATATCGCTGTGCATGTTTTAGTGCATAGTCAGACTCATTATCACTATTTATCGAAGAATCTTAAACGAGTATCTTTCGAGTGAGCATAACCCAAAATTTGGTATTGATAACAGTGTTGATAAAAAATTTTTGAGATTCAACTTGAGTTGAAATAAAGCAGATAAAATGTCTCACGCGCATTTAAACACTTCGTTGTAATAATATATGTGTTATAATGTAAGTGTGGTTTCCTAAAAAGTTAAGCCAATCGAGCAAACAACGAAGAAAAACTTTTAACAACAGGTAGAAATTCTATGATACGTAGTAGGTTATGCGATTATGCATATGTAAATATACTTATGCAACTTTGTTGACCAGTCATTTGTGTGTCACGTCAAAGTCATCGACATCCAATTTAAATCGTTAATCGAACTAAACGTTTATGATATTACGGTCTGTTGTAGTTGTTTAATGTTTTCGGTTACTTTCAGAATTATTTGGTCTTGCTTGGCTTGGCAAAAGTCGTTTAAAAAAAATTATCAAAAAGCGTTCGTAGAAAATAAACAGCAATATCAAATAATGGGTGATTCTAACGCATATCATGTAAGTGAAAAAATACAAACAACAGTGAGAATTTCGAAAAGATGTTTGGTTCATTCGATGCATTCAAAGAGTTTTGTTCGGTTTATAGTGATTTGAGTTTTTTCCTACACGCACTCTTGCAGAAAGAAATTCGTTTTCAATGTGCCTTTTCGAAATTTTTACAAAGTTTATTTACTGAATTGTATAATAATTTGTAAATCGTAATCAACATACTAACTATTATACGACAAATAAGCTAAAAAAATAGGCCTGTTTAGGACGAGTATCTTCTTATGGGTGAACCTTGATGAGGTATTAGCGTATTTAAAATAAATAAAAACAAGTATCTCATTGTAATCGTCGAATACGTTCGGCAATGCATTAGTTGTGAATAAATAAACAAAAGGTTACAAATTTTTAATGTTGTTTATGTGTCATTAACCTTCTTTGTGAATCCCTTGTCTGTTTGTGCTATTTTTTTGTTTAAGTAATATCCAACTTTATCGTATTTAACGTGTTTAAAAATTAAAAAAAAATACGAAAGAAAAATTATCAAATTGTTATACAGGATAAACTCATCTATACTTTTCATAAATGCAACGAAAAAAAGAAACGTCTATTTACTTCAGTCAAATTATTTATGTTACTGAAAGTGACTTTTTATTTATTTCTGTTTGGAATACATTTTCTATTTTTGCACAGATCTCGAAAAAGTCTCAAGTACTCTATTCGATTTTCTTCAAGATAATTTACAGATGGCATGTAGTTTAAAAAGGAAACAATAATAGTAGAATAACCATAATAATAGTAATAAAAGTATTAATGTTAAGAATAATAATCGATAATAAGAAAATATGGCTTAGTGCGAGGGAGATTAAATGTAAATATTGTGATGGTATTTTTGTAATAAGGTATGTATTTACTCAAACATTTGACTCATTTCTCTTTTTCTTTCCTTCGCAATGAGTAAATAGTAAAATAGAACTAATTTTTTTGTGTTACAATGTCCTTTTTTTTGGTATTCTTTAAGTAGTAAAGGGGTCACGGTATGAAAAATTTTATCAGTGTGTAACGTCGATGTTACAGTGCCCTTTTCAAAAAAAGTACACGAGACAAAATTTCTTACGTATTAACCGCAATTTTGTCGTATTCCTTTGGAACATTTATTTCAACTTCAGTAGAGATTTCACCTGGTATTTTTTTATTTGTACGAAAATTATACAGAACAAATACATATTGTTGTAAAAAATATGGGTTTTCATTGAAGTTTCAAAACCGTGTGTACAATGTTTTTATTAAAATCCATGCGAGTCACTTTAAATCGGCCAAAAAAAAAAATCTTGCCAGTTCAACACGCGACAATGTAGGGATCTATCAAATCTACATCAAGTTTCCAGTACTTACCTGTTTTAATTTTTCTAAAAAGCCTCTTTTCTTGAATTTAGTGTGATAGTATAAAAAATTTAATTTATTTGCGTTTACAAACATCAAAAAACTCCAATTGACTAGGCACAATTTAGTGCATGTTTTATCGAATGTTTGTAAGAATCTATGATTCGGTGTATTAAACACATGGAGCGATCCAACCCTCCGACTTATAAACCTATATATACGAATATATTTTTTCGAAGCACGTACCTTATGATGATCTGTTGGCGTTTACTTGGACTTGGACTCATTAAGTAGGTAAGGCATCGTACAAGTCAAGCTGAATTAACATTACTCTGACAAATTAATGCATTTATCTATACCGCTTCGAGCAAATGAGCTGCATACCCTGTGGCAGGTTAATAAATTTAAGAATTCCACGTTATTTGCACCAATTGATTTGTTCCACTGTCTCGCATGACGCATCTCTCATGTACATACATACTTACCATGCCTATGTATCCATAGTTATCGCTCATACAAAGAAGATGGCGCTGGTTGAATATCAGCTGATGTGGATGCTGTTGCTATTACTAACATAAACAATAGAAAGTCGACTCGAATGTATGCATAACGTACAGTGCCGATCTCGAGTCTTTAACGATGAAACAAAATTTTATTTCACCAAAGTATTTTTTATTTTTATCCACCACGGTCTCTTTTACAATTATCAGTCGCTAAGGCTAGGAGATTATTTTATCATTTGTCATTGTTTGATAATCTCATAGTAATCTGGCTGTTGCGATTATCGGTGTTATACACTTGAAAAAGTATACTTACTTGTGGAGTACAGTAACGAGTGACTTGTGATTTGAGAAGCAGTGATTGCTGTGTCAGGTTGTTCGCATATAATAAGTATACTTACTTACTTATCAGAGCCTTGTATGCTGTTTGGTGACCTGCTTTAGTGAGTTTACATTCGACGTTCATAAAATGTAAGTGTAGGCAGACTTATGCATACATATTTGACATTTCACTTGGTGTACTTATAAACGTAATGTTTAAGTATGTAACGCTGCAATGCAGTCAATGCAGTGCCGTTGGATACGCCAGTACGTCGTAATGACTGTACAAAATATATGTATTTAATATTTTAGAATTAAATATTACATTTGCACTGTGCTTTACATTAGTTTTAGTTGCATCGAACCGATGTGATGAGTAACTTGGGAATGAAATAACTTTACTTCAAAATCTGAAACTAAATTTGATATTTATATGAATTGAAATAATTTTTTGCGAGTAACTGAAATGTAACAACAGTTACCCAGAGATAATGCTGCTCAAACAGTTACAATTAATTTCACGCGTAAGATAAAAACTCTCTGTCACGGATAATAATAAGCTTATCAAACTGAGCACATACATGTAAAGATAAACATATTTCTCGCATAATTAAAAGCTGTGATCAATTTCTTAAATCCTTATACAGATGCACGTTAACAATAAGGGTTATAATAATGATAATAATACTTTTTAATAATAACCTTTTATTATCGTAAAACGTTACATGAAATTGCTGAAATGTTGCGGTGTATGTAGTCATGCAGAAATGCAAAAAATCAAAATAATGATTCTGATCTAATTTTTTTTTTTTTTTTTTTTTTTATTGATATATTATTGTTTGTTCTTTCGGGATTTGTTTCAGATAATTCAACAGTCGGAAATTTAAGATATGGGTTACTCACTTATTGGTGTTGTGTTTGTATTTGTACTGGCGCCCTATCATGATTTCTAACAAATGAATTTTAACAAAAATTACAGTATTTTGAATATATAGCATTCTTAACGAAAATCATTACACATCTGAATTTTCTATCAAGAAACATGATGTGATTATCGACCAAAATTTTTTTGTCATAAATTACATATAAATTTTTTCAACCAAAAAATCTCGGAATTCATGGACGAATACAGTACATCTTAAATAAAAATATATCCAACGTTTTATTACGTCTTTAAATTTTAGATCGAAAAATATTGCTCTCCAGAATTTCTCATTGAATAACATTAAAGCCGTTTATACTGTTACCATCAAAGTCATGGCAGTGCACTATACTTTACAATACTGATTATCTCTTTCGCACTCAAGTGCCAGTATAGACATATTTACATCCTTTAAGTGTTTGGCTCTGCTTGTTGGTTTATTCCTAATGTCACTATTGGTCTGGCTACATTTTATAGCATGAAAAACATAAGTATTTCATGTTCAAAAGAAAAATAAAAATCCGTAAACAAATTTGCAGTTTTAAAAAATACGGGATAAAAGTTGTTAGTTCAATATTTCTAGAAAGTAGCTGCTACGTTTACGTTTACAGAAACTTACAGAAATGTAAATGCTAATTTTTCGCTTTTGCGGCGATGCAGCAGCATCAAACTAACACCTTTCAGAGCATCTATCGAAATTTTGGAACAGAAAAAACTTTTTAAAACTTTTTTAATATAAAATATTTCGATTCAGAATTTTATTGCTTGCGACTTTTTTGGCGTATCTAACGGAATTAGAGTTTTGGTGACCAAAACTATTTTTTATAAAAAATGCTTGTTTATGACTTCAAACGATGATGATAAGAACACTGTGATTTAGGGCACATCTCTGATTTTTCAATTATTTTTTACTCTCACATATTTACTTGGAGACACTAGCAAGCAGAACATAAATTTGTATATTTATAGAGGTAAATCTCCTTGTAAACCTGACCAGGAGTCCTGTGTTGTGATATCTTTTTATTTAGAAATAATATTACATGTTAAACATGTTTACTGGTAGTCATAATAATTATGCAAGAGTATTTGTATCGTTATAAGATAAGAAAAAAAATCGTTGATGTCGTTATGATCATCTTGGCCTCGTTAGCGAGCGTGTGTTTGAAATATTCTAAAAGCAACTAATAGCTTAAAAAAAAATTTTTTTTTTGTATTAACCTACTAGTTGATAAATAAAAAAAAACCAGCATGCAGTTTCGGAAAGCACGTACCTACCTACTTTGAATAACCAAAAAAATGGTAACATTTCCACGTTGTTTTCGGAAGTTTGGCCAAAATGTTTGTCGATGAACCCTTTTACTCCTTTTGCCTTTTTATACACACTAAAGTCGAGAATGAAAAAAATAAATTTTTATCGCCCGGTGCAACAACAGCCCTGATTTAAATAAAAATCAGCATGACCCCTTGCTTTTCATTTTTTGTAAAAACTATACCTATAGTGCACGGTAAGGCCACTTTTGTGAGAGAGAAAATGCAAGAAAATGTCTGTGATCCGTGGTGTGCAGCATGTATTTATGTACGCTGCACCTAGGTATATATAAAACGAGCTGATCGCGCCCTACCGCAGCTTGGCGGAGACGTGGGAGTTCCCGTTATGCCTGCGATCATGGCCCGATTACTCTCACCAACGATTCGACTACTTCCTCGGGGCCTCTGCGCTGCCTATGGGCCGAGCACGCCAACAGCAGCAGTGGCGCGCCCATTTCATCGTACGGCTTCCTATCAAACGTACGCATGCAGACAAGTATACGTATACTCATATGTGCACTGCCAATGTTATCTTATTCCTGATCAGAAATAATGATGCATCGAGGCTCGAGGGGGACACTCGACTTTGCAGCTTCAGTAGCACAAGTTTATATTATGATTGTATAACACTTATGGTAGAGTCAAGAATTGAGCCTTACTTATTTTATCGAGGCAATCTTGCAAAAGATTCGCACCCTGCCCTTATACGTTAAGTACACATCGCTGGATGTGTAGCTGAAACCCTAATCGCTCCATCACGTCGAGTGACTCGAAATAATAATCAATTTATATGGTACATCCACCGTATATAGACTTATTGCGTGAGAAAAATATAATACGCAGTTATGCAATGGAACATAAAAATTATGGATTGTTTTTACGCGTTAGAAGTTTTAGTGCTGTATCAACGCTATGAGATTTAGGTACCTACTACAGTGGGAAATATTATCCCCTCAGCAGGAACTTCAAGATGTGAAGGTTGGAAAAAGAATTTTTTTTTTGGTTATTGAAGATTTTGTACGCTCGTCTCTCTTAGAATTTTCGATTGGATAAAATAAGCGCGCCGATGCTTGAACGATAGCTACAGTTGGTTTGTGAAAAAAAAAAAAAAAAAAAAATCAAAAGTATGAAAGCCTCACATTGATAGATCAAGACAATGTAAATAAGTAAGTCAAGTTGAAATAATATCAAACAACATTTACGTGGGGTTTGCCTTGGGCTTTGTATAGAAAAGAACATGTGTAGATGGAGTTGTAGTTGGGACTACCTAAACCATGTGGTTATTACGCGTATATGACCCAACTCGTGCAGGTATTCATAAGAGCTCTCCGTATCAATGTTAGGGGACATGTGAACATATTAACAAATAAATAAATAACTATAGGTAAATGAATGAATATCAATAAAGATTGTGTATATAAATGTAAAAGCTAAAAGCAAAGAGGAGGAGGAGGAGCTGTTCATAAGTACGAGTAAAGAGAGTGTTGTCAGTCAAAGTGGTTAATGCCTCGTTGTGTATTATGTATATTTTATATAGTTTTAGTAAAAACGTTGTCACAATGGAGCAAGGGCCGTGCCACTTTGCCAGAGGCGTGCACACCATGAAGGTGCCAATGTCGCTGTTCGCGGATAACCGCAGGAGGCTAATCAATAGGTTGCGAGAAAAACCGGAGGTCGCGGAGGTGGCTGGCTCGTTTGTACTGCTGCAGGGCGGCGTTGACGTACCTTTCAACGACACTGACGTCAACTGGCCGTTCCGACAGGTGCCTCCTTTATTCTTGTTGTACGCTCGTACTGCACCCACAATCTCCCAGCTGGCAAAACGTTTCTAATTGGAGGTTTGAACATCGCAGGAGTCCTTTTTCCAGTGGTGCTTCGGCGTCGAGGAGCCCGACTGTTACGGGGCTTTGGATCTCGACAGCGGGGCTGCCATTCTTTTTTTCCCGCGGCTGCCCGACGAGTACGCCACTTGGATGGGACGACTATTCAGCCTTGAGGAATTGCGCCAGCGATATTCCGTCGACGAGGCTTACTACGTTGACGAGATTCTCGACGTATTCTCTAGAAAGGAAGCCTATCGGTTTCTTACATTGGTAACTTGTACCTACTTTTAACTTACTCGTGCAAGGGAAAAACCACTTGTCCAGTAACCGCCCATTAATCGAATATATTATGCATCTGGCGCAAGTGAATTTGGGAGAAAAAAAAAGTGGGGTCCGGGGCTTTTTATACCCTTTATCCTTTATGAGTATTGTGTACTTATCCTGAAATTTCACCGGTTTTAATTTAGATTCCCGTAAATACGCATTTCGATTGTTTCAAGAAGTTTATATCGATTCGCCTCAATATTTTGTGGCCTGATTTCTTAATCGATACTCAACAGAATGCTCCAAATTATCCAGCAGATTTCATCCGAGGGAACATTTTTACTTTTCCCTAGACTGCAGAGCGTTCAAAATAATCCATCGGGTTTTTTCAACATAACTTTTTAAATTGACACTTTGAGTTTACGGTCAAAAAATGCTAGATTTCGATATGACATTACTTTTTACCTTGTTTTTGGGACTTAAAAAAAATATTCTTCATACAGAAATATCTTGATAATCAAATTAATTTTTTGTATTCTTACCCATTTTATCTCAAAAAATGTTATAAAAAATTTAGATCTCATGAAAATACTTTTTTTTATCACTATTATTTATTTTTTAGAAACTATCTTTATACCTCCAAAATTAACAATACGGCCAGTATTGTATACCAATTTTTAGACCCAATATTAAATGTTCTGACAACGACATATTTATAAAATCAAAATTTTTACATCTTAAAAAAAAAAAATAATTCTACGACTTCGAGTTAGTTAAAAGTAATGTTACTTGTATGCCTTGAAACACGAAAAACGATTAAAAGGGCTATTAAAATCAATTAGCTCGTTGTTATGCTTATCAAAATATATTCTGTGAGCATAAAGTATTATTATGTCATACGGAACGGCTGCTATTTGTTGCAGCATGGGGTAAACAGTGATAGCGGCCTTACGAGCAAGGAGGCGACATTTACCGGTATCGACAAGTAAGAATATAACAAATAATGGTTTCATTACCATTCGAATATTAAATAATGTATTTTGACCGCATGAAAAAAAAAAGTAAATAAAAGTACAATAAAAATTGTAATACAGTTTAAAAAGAGCACTCTTTCGTTTAATTTCAAAGAAAATTTTTTTCATAACAGGTTCAAAGTCAATAATGAAATACTTTATCCGGAGATATGTGAATGGTAAGTTTTTATGATTTGCACTATTGAACTAATTTACTTTTTTTCTCCTCTTGTTCATTTTTTCCGATTTCGATTTTTCGACCATGTACCCTTTCAAATCACTTCGTTGTGTCTCAAAACTATAAAGTCCATCCCATGAGAATCCAAAAATTTTAGAATATATATGAAGCAAAACCTTTGAAGGAAAAAAAAATATATCAGTTTTGGGTTTTGAGTCAATCAAAAAAAAGTTTTGGGATATAACAAAGATGTTTTAAATATTTCGAATTATAGACCCATCAAAATCAGGAAATAACATACACCCTATTGTATTAGTATTGTTGTATACTTGAACGCTAAAACGCGTTTATCTGCCTGTGCGCCTACTTTATAGTTTACAACTAAAATTCCAACACCACAAGTCATATACTATTCCAGCGCAAGCACTGCTGAACTTTCAATAAGTTGAATTTGCTTGTATATTTTTTTACATTACTTGAACAAATTTTTTTCAAGCTTGAAAAGTATGCAGCATCACTCTATATCGCTAATACTCTAATTTTTTAGTAACAACCAAACCATGAGTGTTGGTTTGTTTTCATAATTTTGTGAAAAATCATTAAATAGAAACATTAAATAAGTAAGCCAAATTATGTTCTCCAAAACTTGGGATGGTTCCACTAGCAGTATTTAGTGTAGTTTCGAGTAAAAAAAACAAAAAAAAAACAATAATAATAAATAAATATACACGCAGGCAATTCAAATTTATTGAAAATTGTGTGGGCACTTGACTTTGAAGCATGGATTAACAATATTATAAATTAAAAGTTAGCTCTATACGAATCTGTTGTGTGAAAAAAAAAAAAAAAAAAAAAAAAATAATCACGTACGCAGTCGAGTCATAAAGTCCGAGTCGGAAGTGGAGGTAATGCGATACGTGGTGAAGATCAGCTCCGAGGCGCACAAGGCCGTGATGAAGATGGTCCGGCCGGGGGTGGCCGAATTCCAGGCCGAGGCAGAATTCATGCGCTACGTTTACTCCGAGGGCGGCTGCAGGCACGTCTCCTACACTTGCATCTGCGGATCCGGGTGCAACGGCGCCATCCTGCACTACGGCCACGCCGGTGCCCCCAACAACAAGATCATCCGGGACGGTGACATGTGGTATGTACCCATATCGATCATCCCTTTGCCGGTGCGGTGGTGATCATGCCCAATGTGTTGTTCCTCTTGGTGCCGTGCAGCCTCTTCGACATGGGCGGCAATTACTGTGGCTACGCGGCGGACATAACTTGCAGCTTCCCGGCCAACGGCAAGTTCACCGAGGATCAGAAGATTGTCTACAACGCGGTGCTGGAGGCACGCGATGCCGTGATCGCGGCGGCAAAGCCTGGGGTGCTCTGGACGGAGATGCACCTGCTGGCCAGTCGCACGATGCTGGGGGCGCTACTGAGGGCCGGTCTGTTGCAAGGCGACGTCAAGGATATGATAGCGGCGGGCTTGCACGCGGTTTTTCAGCCCCACGGTCTTGGGCACCTGCTGGGCCTCGACGTCCACGACGTCGGTGGTTACCTACCCGGTCACCCCGAGCGCTCGACCGAGCCCGGCCTTCGGAGCCTGAGAACGGCCCGTCCGCTCCTCCCCGGTATGGTACTCACCATCGAGCCCGGCTGTTACTTCATCGACTGGGTACGCGCTTTAGCTCCAGTTACATGCCCTTATATAAGCATTTTTTTTTTTTTTTTTTTTTATGCAAAAGATGCCATAAAGATTGTTTCGATTTTACGCTTATCACAAAAAAAAAATATATATATATATATGCTTAAATAAATCGACAGAATTTCTTTTTTTTTTTTTTTTTCTTTTTTTTCATACGTCGCAGTTATTGGAAAAGGCCAAAAAAGATGCCCGACAATCTCAGTTCATCGTGTGGAAGGAAATTACACGGTTCTTCGGATTTGGTGGCGTACGTATCGAGGATGACGTGCTCATTACCGAGAACGGCAATGAGAATCTCACGAAAGTTCCCCGCACGTAAGTTTTTGATATACGTTTGCCGTATTTTTTGATTATGTACGTCCTATATTGCGTTACGTGGCTGATGAATCATAAATGTGCATGGTTATTTAAATGGCCCTGCATACTTCATACATCTCCAAAAAAAACATTTTAAAGGTGACGCATTTCTACTCGTAATATCAATGTTATCGTAAAATCAGTGATTATTAATAAACTAATTTTCATTTAATACGAAATATTTCATATTAGCCATTACCGAGGTAGCGATTACTTATAAGAGGTGACAAAACAAATTCTACAAAACAAAAATTATAAGGTATATTGCAACTATTGAGTGCTCTTGTCAGGTTGCTAAGTCTTTCATGGTTGGGGCAATATTAAATAAACTTTGCTGCTTATTTTAAACTAGGAGAAGAGCTGAAATTCTTGTTTTCATTATATTAAAATTTCTGTAACTCGTACAATTAGTTCGCAGTAACTGTTTCTTTCCTTTTTCTTTTTTTTTTTTTTTTTTGGAGGGGGGGAACGAAAAATTTTTGGCATCTAATTTTATCATCTTGCGTTATCTTCACTTTTTTTATGAGCCATAACACAAGATTATTCCTTTACCTTTGGATGTTGAAAACTATTCAGACGTTAAGTAGTTTTTCACAAGTCTTGTCAAACTTCATAAAAAAAGTAGCACAATATAAAATTCAAAGTAAAACTCTTGTTTTTGTACTCGTATCTTTTAACACGCGTCATTTTCGTGTGTAACGTCAAACTACTGGAAATGAAAAAAAGCACCTGTGTCAAGCGGTTGTGTGAGCACAAAATTTCGAGCTCATTAACTATTGTAAATATTGGGCTTTGACGTGCGTAGATCGGAATAGTCAAATATTTACTTTGCTATAATGTCGAAAATTCAAGACAATAACAAGAGATCACATACGAAAGTACCAAGACAATATTCACATTTACCTCATTTTTCAAAAACAATAAAATAATGAATAGTATTTCGTATTGTCTCGAGTCGTGAAGCCCCGGTATATCTATGTATTTCTAATCAACTCAATTATAATGACTGAGTGGATAATTTTTTTTTTTTGTTTTACGAAACTGCTGATAAACGTCAAAAATGATTTTTGGAAAGTAATAAGTAATATTTTCACATTAACTTTAAAAAATATAATCAGCATTTATATTTCTAAAGCATGAGTAAAATTAAAAAAAAAAAAGATAATACATATCTATACGTTCAAATCATTGTAATTTCTAAATAAAGACAGATGTCCCTTCTTTTTGTTCTCACAGTGTTGAGGAGATCGAGGCTTGGATGGCTCAGGGCTGTAACAAATTGCCGCTGCCAGAGGCTGTTCAAGCGAATCATCATTAAAAAATTTTGAACAAGTTGTTTCACATGCATGGGTTTCTGTAAACACAAGTTATTAACGGTGGAAAAATGTAAGCTTTGTGTTGAAATCAGCTTGAATGATTGATAATGTTGCTATACATGTCGAAAATAAGGGGAATATGTGCAATGATCGTGTTTTTCCAATGTCCGCATGGTAGAAAAAACACAGATCAAAATGTTTTCAACAAAAGTTGTCGGAAAATAAAAACGAAGTAATATCGATTATTAAATTCGAAATGCATGACGTGATCGTCAATTTTGTATGAATTAGTACGTCTAACAAGTGTACGCTATTTCATTCAATACACCAAAAAGACACACGTGTCCCACCCGAACGAGATTAAAATACCATAGTACATTATAATTGATGAAAAAAAAAAATATTAATGCATAGACCTCGGTTCGAATAAATAATATTTTTAATTTCTCATTATCTACAACTTTTTTCTTAAATTTCTTAGCCCCAAAAAATTTAGTTTCTTTGCTGCACGTTTTTCAAATTAATTAAGCTGACAGTCGACACGGAGAGTTATGATCTACAAAAGCCCGGCTTGGTAATTTTTTTTGTTTTTCTGGAAAACCCAAATTTTTTAAATTCAGGATCAACCTAAACTCGACTGTGGAGCAACTGCTTTACGAGCGAGCGGAAATCTGTTCGTTCGCTGACGCGCGCAACGCTAAGTAAGATACGTAACGTAACTGATTATTACATATACCGATATACCTACATATACGATGACGCCACACCACCTCTGTTGCACCACTCCACTTTATACGCCAACAACAAAGAAGAACAGGAAAGGATACGTGGGCGTCTTTCTATCGGCGAAAAAAATACGCCATGCGAACACCTTGTTAACATTAATTGTAAACGTGTCATAAAAATTACTACGTATTTCTTGTAATTTACAGGCTGATGATAATAAATTAATTTTTTCAACAACTTTAATCCCCCATTGAGTAAATTTAATTTTCATCCACAACTCGATTGCTTCGGTTGTATCTTTATCCAACGTGATAGCCTCGTCATATTTCTAAAAATACGGTCACAAATAAGTAATACATAGAGATACAATTATTCTTTATCCAGAGCTATAATTTTTACTCGAGGTCACGGGCATTTGGGGGGGGGGGGGGCGTGAAAAATTTTCAGTCGACTAAGTACGAACACTTCTCGGAGGCTTTTACAAAATTGATGGTTTTGATGACGCGTTACGTGCTCGATAGGTTTTCTTTACCTACAACTATTTATTAATCGGTGTCCCGGTTTCCGGTCCGCGTTCGTGGCATAATTATCGTGCACAGATATCTATTTTTTTTCTGCGTATCATGCACCGTTAATATTTTAACAGCTGATTTTCTTGCCACTTTTGTACCAGTTATTTTTGGAGAGGAAAAGTCAGTCGACCGTGCCCCATTGAGTACTTATATAGAGGGTCCGCCACTTCCGTTTCTATGGCTGCAGGTATAATATAATTATGTAATAATCGTGCACATATGTGCGTTCATGGCGTCTTCCGAAAGATTCGTCATACTCGAACAGTTGTTCTCCTCACCTTCGTGTCAATAAGGAGCAGGTAAATATACATGAGTACTCGAGTGTTTAATTACAAAACAATGAGGTAACATCGGAGGCTTGAATCCAGTATCGATTCATATAGCCATACCTACCGACGAACATGATTGGAAAATAAATATACGAGAAATTTGTGAAATGGGTGAGTCGAAACATTATAGAAAAATAATATTAATGTATGGTGGATAGAGCGAATGTATCTAGGGAAAGATATAAAATGCATATACGTTAAGTACTTACGAAATATATGTATATAAGTATCGCAGCTATCGTATAAACTTCCCAGTCCATCTACCCGCGTATGAGGAAAAATGAATCATTGGTATGTGCACGTAGGTATATACGTATTATATACATATATTTAAGTGACGGCTCACGTAAACTTTCCTCCGAGCTACAGGCATATAATATCTAGTGCGTCAATAGACTTTAGTACATGGTTAAATAACCAAAAAATTGCATTGGGTGTTAATTAAGTGGTTAATCGATCAGCTGTACGTGGTAATATAATTAGTATATAATTGTCATTTACGATGAATACGTATGACTGTTATGTGAGTTTACTTTTTTAATGTTAACCGATTTTTTTTTTCTCTGGTACTTAATTAAGGTAATATTTTGAGAGAGGAAGCTAAGCACACATCAGTTTATTTTTTTTACGTCCATGCACGCATGAATAAAGAAGGCTCTTCTGGATACTGGAAAGCCAATTTGAAGTAAATTGTATTCGATTAAAATATATAATAATGAATAACAACATATATATGTATAATGTGTACATAACGGCTTACTAAGCTTCTTTGCGTCAATTTGCATCAATTGCGTTGAAAACAATAATAATTATAATAGTAATATTCACCATGAGCAGAGAACGAATAAAGGTGTGAGAGTGAAAAACCGTAGTTCATTAAGCTCGAATGACTCTTCTGAACGAAATTCACATTGATTTATTTTTAAAAAATTCAAAAGTTGACTGAGAACTTAGGGCGTGGCGGCGTTTTTAGCTTATTAAAACATAACGTGTTCACTAAAGTACGAGAGCACGAAAATGATAGAAATAACTCAAGTGGATGTATATACAAGTACACGGTATAAAAGGGGGAGTGGCTGTGGTACACATGAGTATAGTCTTGGATTCGAGCAAGTCTACGATGAACTTAAAATAAGTCTATGAATGAGATGGGTGAATTTGTTTGAACGAGGTCAAATGGACTTTATTAGTGGCGTCTACAAATTCAATAACTGGATTGACTTAAATTTTTATTCTATGAAGATTCAAACGCGTTATCGTGCTGTAAGTAATCGGTTTTAGTACATAACAATAATGTGTATGAAATTTAAAAACCCTTTCCAGTGAATCTTTTTTCTTAGAAACATATTTGAATTTCAACTAAAAATTTGTTCCGTATGTAGGTAAGCAAAAAAAAATTTTTTTAAACTCAAACAACACTTGACTTTGAGGTAAAATTTAGTATCGACATTTCAGTATGGCAACACATAGCAGTGGTACAACAATTTATCGAAAAATTGATATTTGCAATGTACTACGCTTTAACCATTAAGTTTTTTTTTTTTTTTTTTTTTTTTTTTTTTTTTTTTTTTTTTTATTGATATATTATTGTTTGTTCTTTCGGGATTTGTTTCAGATAATTCAACAGTCGGAAATTTAAGATATGGGTTACTCACTTATTGGTGTTGTGTTTGTATTTGTACTGGCGCCCTATCATGATTTCTAACAANTTTTCAAAGAAATCGAGGGAACTCCCATTCCGAACCATAACTTACCCGAAAACGTCCGTTAATTGAATAAAATATATAACTTAGGTGGATGTGTGACAGCATACCTATGAATTACCCAAATGAATTAGTTATTGAACATAAATATTACTTCAATAGAGGTACTATCTAGTTACGTGTTTTACAAAATCTGTTTGAAAAAATTTCTAGCTATTGCCTCTGTAATTTTTTTGGAGGATCATTGGTGCCATTGCAAAACAATAAAATTTTAGGAATTGGTGTTGCAGAAAAAAAATAAATTACTACCTATCTAATGCTCAAGTATAAGCCCGTCCCGCCTTGTCATTTAAATGATATAAGTATATCGGATTATCGTGATACTGTAGCTCTCGCTGCTATGCTCTGCTTGAGTCAGCTGGGGCGCGGGGCACCGTTGCCGTGGGGGGCTGTGTGCGTACTGTATATATGTGTACGTATTGGATACCTCTCCCTCGCCTTTGCTCTTCTGCCCCTCCCACGCTTCAGTTGGTACACTATACTTCAGTCAGCTTCAGTAGTTCAGTAGTCACCCACGTTGTCGCGTCGCGCCGCGAGTGTTTATCATCGTGCGCCAAACGCTGTGGTGGCAGTTGCGCGGTAGCCGTCGGTGATACAAGTTCGATGTAACTTGCCAATAATAAGTGATACTCGAAAGTAGAGTTCCTCTATTTTTTTTGACTCTCGTGTTGTGTTCAAAATCCGTGAAAGTATAGACAGTGCTTTTATAACGTTACTAGTATTATTTTCGAAAGTCATACTAGCTAAAATCTTCTTTTTTTTTTTTTTTCTTTTCTTGTATCGAAGTGTACCTACTAACTACGAGGCAATGTTGTACACTGATAGCTAAAGTCAAACTTGCTGCACACATACCTATACCTAAGCAATAAGCATATCCACGAAATGTGTACACCAACAGATTCGTAGAATACAGGTGCATACTATGAACGAGTCCGTGTATATACATCATTGATCATGACCGTCTCTCGTCAGCGTTGTAATTTGTAACACCATCATCGGAAATACTAATTTTCCGGAAATATCAGGATCAGTGATACCAGTGTTGCATACGCGTGTGTTGTGTTTGTTTTTTTTTCAATTGTTTTCGTTCGAATATGCAAGCTTCGCCAATAGTTTATTTTGAACGAATGATACAGTTGTTAATACTTGTTTGATGGAAAGTTGTTATATTGCTGAACGATTGTTATTTTGGTGCGTTGTAACGTATATACTATACTTACATTCGTAACATATGACTGTAATGGTAATATAGGTTACCTACCGACATATCTCTATATACGCGAACACTTGTATATACATGCGTACTACCTGCGTATGAAAAATAAAAAAGATACCTATACCAGAACCAGCGCCAACAACAAAGCATCAAGTGCTTGAGTTCTATTTCATTTCGTTGTGCTTGTAAGTAGATCGGTAAAAACTAAAATATTGTTGGGTACTTGGAAAAAGACCGAGGTGGTAGCACGCACGCGGATCATTGCACCCGACAAAAGCATAATCGGCCATACAAGTTTGATCCGTGGACCAGCCCAAATACTCAACAGCTCCCGTTGCTAAGCAGCAGTGCGAATAATTTATACTTAACCCGATTTCGTGGCGGAAAGTAACGACAACAAAATGGTTTGAGATATTAGCGTAAAAATCTGCTGGACCTGCACTGCACCTAGTTCCATGCCCTACTACGCAGTACATCGTGTTACATGTATATGTACAACACACGGACAAGAAGAAAAATATTATAAGCTGCAAGGGTCGACGAAAAGAAAAGAAAAAAAAAAAACAAGTGTAAAGGTATATATGTAATCTTGTGAAGAAAAGAGGACAGGGCGGCATACTTATATACGTGTAGCAGGGGCGGAGGGGGCAAAGCTCCGGGTCGACGTGACGACTGTGACGAGCGAGAAGAGCAACGAGCAACGAAACGCGAGGTGGTGGGTGGGTGGGTAAGCGAGACAGAGCCACCCTTTCGTCTCTCATCGATCCTGCAGCCGCCCGCGCCGGCCTGTCTATATAGCTGTATATATAATTACAAAACGCGCGCACACGGGCCATCGAGACGAGAGATATACCTCTGCACACCCATCTAAGTACATAATATAAATATGTATAATACTTGAGGAACGCCGAGAACTGCGAAACTTGCAGGTGTGGTGCTTTTGCAAGCTCTGCAGACTTTCTCTCTGCTCTTTTGAGTTGTTGTTGTTGTTGTTGTTGTTGTATACATACACCTACACCTACTCATATGTATATACATATAAATACAATGTGCCGAACAGCTACACGTTCTCTGGCAATTGTTGATGTATGAAACATGCCACACACAGCTGAGAGTAACAACAAATGAAAGGTGTAAGGCGCTCGTATCCCCTATATATTTATAACGAGAGAAGAGATACAATTAACAGCCGCGAATAATGCACGCGCATCATCATCATAGGTGTAAAAAAATTACGCTTGAGCACGATGAGCATCAGCAGCAGCAGCAGCAGCAGCAGTAGTAGCAGCAGGTGGACCTGCATCGACCGCCAGCGTTCACCGAGCTGACGACGACGCCGCCCGATGATTGCAGGCGTAAAGGTCATGCTGGCGTGTACGAGAACTCAGTAGGACCACCAGCAGGCTATACCTACATAATTATATACTTACAGAGAAGATAATCATCGTGGGTTACCTCCTACAAGTTTGGGGAGAACAAAAAACAAACTAACACACCTGAGGTGCGCGGTGCTGCGAGATGTATTGCTTTCAGAATCCGTTTTCTCGGGCGACGCGTAGCGTCGTGACTAATCCCCTCGCGGGTGGGGGCACAAAGTGCACCTCGAAGCCGAAACGGCGCAATTCCGAGGCGGCCAGCGAAGGGGATTCCGGCTCGTCCTCGATTCGTTACATAGATCAGCTGTCCGAGGCGAGCAGCACCGACACCCTGCCCGGCATTCGTAGCGACTACCTCGACGCCGAGCTCCTCAGTCCGGGACCCGATTGTCTCGCCTCGCCGACCATCGTCTTCACCAGCGAGCCCCCCGTCCCCGGCAACGGTCTGGAAGCCCTCACCCCCACGGACGACGACGACGACGACGACTACGACAATGACAACGACAACGGAGCCGAGGAGGACAAACCCGGCTGTGGTTGGCGGCGCAAGCTCCTCCTGAAGCTACGCTCCAGCGAGTCGTCCAACTCGAGCCACTGCAACTCCTCTGCCTCGCCCAGCGAGGAGAACTTGGCCCCGAAGACGTCGCCTCCTCCTCCTCCTCCTCCTCCTCGCGCCGACGATGCGGGCAACGGTTGCATCGGTAACGGCAATTGCCTGCTGGCCTCCTCGAAGCACCGACAGCCGGGCTATTCGAACGGCTCGACGAGTATGCTGTTGGGGGCCTCGGAGCGTGACGAGCCGAGCGAGGACGAGGACGAGGATTACGACGACGCGTACAATTTGGAGGAAACCGAGCCCGAGGACAATTCGTCGCTGCCCTCGAGTCCCGCAGCCCCGGCCACGGTGGGCCTGGCCACAGGTGGGCCGATGCCCTCGTACTACGGCTTCCTCTCGGTCGGTGGGGCCGCGTTGCGCCACCAGGAGAACACGAGCACGAGCTCGCCCCAGCTGTCCTCGGCCGATGCCCTCGAGCACGCGCTCGTCAACGGAGGGGGCTCGATCGGCGGCGGTGGTGGTGGTGGTGGTTGCCTGATGCTCCTCGACGAGACGTCCTCGCTGCGGGAGGAAAAGCGGGCCAGCAGCAACGAGACGGTCTCACTAAAGTCCCACCACTTGAAACCCGAGCCGGGCCTCGAGGCGAGCGTTTGCCTGCCGGTGGCTCGCTCGTGCCCGAATCTCGAGCGCCAGAGCGCCGGTTGCTCGAGCGCGAGCGGCTCGTCCAGCCCGGTCCCGAGCCCCGGGCCTGCCGGGCCGCGCTTCAAGCCCATCGAGGAGGGCGACATACAGGTCTGCTCGCTCAACCACACGCGCACCCTCGTCAGCAAGATACTCTCCAGCCGGTTTCTCAGGCGCTGGGAGACCCACCACCTCTACCTCAACGATGCCTGTCTCTCCTCCAAAACGGTCAGTTCTTACATCGTTATTTGTATTTGCTGCCCCCCCCCCCCTTTTTTTTCCCTTTTATACGATTTTGGATCGCAAAACTCCGAGATACTCTTTGCTCTTTCTTCGCGCGTGGCCCACGACTTTGTTTACGAAAAAAAAAAAAAAAAAAAAAATACGCAATTTTCCCTTACACGCAATCTACTCTCGTAATGTGTGTTTAATTAATTTAACAAGATGTGCATTTTTTTTTTTTTTTTTCTTCGACAAACACTTGCTCGGTATTTTCACAGTACAAAGTATAAACAGAGTTAAGTCAGCCACTGCGGAAAGTCAATATTTATTAAATACCGTTTTCAAACCTTGTCTCAGTGCGTCCGGGTATTCGACAATTATTTTATTTTTTACGCTACTACAACTGCTGTTGCTTTCGCATGCGATTGTCACTATTTATTATGTATTATTGAATTTATTAGTTAAAACGGTCACTCACTGGTTCTTGTAACTGAAACAATTTACTCGCTTGAACTATGCCGACAACAGCGCATTAATTTTTTTTTCTGCAAAAAGTATAATGTTGAAAAGTAATTGGCTCTTTTATTTGAAAAACTGTAAAACTTTTTTCCCCAAAAAAAAAAAACTCATTTCATCTATGTGAATGAGTGTATACATGTCTCGTATTTTTATTGCGATGATAAATCCAATCTAGATTAATATGGGATTCTGACAGTGCGCACACGCACTTAAATTTAATATGGTAAAAATAATCCATCATGCATTTATACATATAATCTTGTGTACATGTGAAAATAAAAAATTTTAAAATAAAAACTTTGTTGCATAAGCTTGTTTAATGCGTGATAACTCACATGAGCAAAACAAGTTATTTTTAAAGTCAGCATGCATCCAAAGAAAAATTTCCATGGATTTTTTCTTTGATGCAGGTGCTCTTCGTCGAATTCAAGTAAAATAAGTAAACAAAGTCAGAGTAAATAAAATTTTCCAGATTTATTATCTTACAGCCACTTGCCTTATTTTCTTGAAGCTCATCGATTGCCTGGCTATTTTCGTTTGGATCCTTCAAAAATAACGCAGGCATCCAAAAATACTTATCTGCGGTCAGTGTTTCCATTGAAAGAGTACAATCACGTGCACGTGTGCTTACGTAGAAGAAAGTAAGCAGAAAAATAATAAATCATATTTTACGCAGGTTTGAAACTTATCAGACTTAACTTTGAGTGTACCATTACTACATGATCGAGATCTCTATGGTAATACCAATACTTTTTTTTTTTTTTTTTTTTTCCTTAAAGACGAAGATTTGAAAAATACTCAATATGGCTCCAGATGCAAGCCTTGACTAACAAAATATTATGACTGTTAAAAAATAAAGACGAAACGTCTGTCGTAGATTAGATTTAATTAGTTCCTATTTTTCATCTATTTTTTTTGTTTGTAGCTTGTATCACGGCCGTAAAGACCTGCAGCGCTTGGTACTATTTTTCGAGTGTAGCCACAACTTATGAACATGTAGCGTTGCAACTATTATTTAAATACGAAAATTCGGCGGTAAGGATATTTGTATTGAAAACTAATAGTTATTTTTTCAACCCGAGGAACCTACTCTTTTGTTCGAGCCAATAGAAAGAGAGATTTAACGGTTCATTGTACGTCAGTAACTGCGGGCGAAAGGATGTGCGTGAGGCATAAAAGAAGCCGACGACAAGGAATAATAAAAAAAAGGGGTAACTCGAGTCTTGACGTCAGCAAGCCGCCACCGTTGTCGTTAGATATCTCGATCTTGCTCGTCAAAAGTATACTTACAGTATAAGTCGGACTTTGCACTTTCTCTCTTGTCTTGACTTTTGCTTTCTCTCTTTTTTTCTTTCTCACCTACTCTCAGTTTCATCGTTTATCCACGACCAGGTGGTCGTTTATAATCCCGTACGTTCGCCAAGGGGAAGGAGGTACGCAGCCAAAGAAGACGCGAGGATTCATCGTGGATACCTATACCTACACTCAAGGGGTTTATCAAAAAATCTTATTTACCAAAAGTTCTTGAAAAAAATTTCTTCGAATCGATGCTTACAACATACAATTATTATTCTAATTTTTGGGGGTGGTTTTGGAGTGGTAATTTTCTACAGACACAATTACCATGATTTATTAAAAAGAATCATGAATAATGTCTCTCTAAAGTCATGATATATCTGCACTGTGCATCGAGTGGATCCAGAGAAATATGCCAATAACCTATCCCAATGCCAAAAACTTTTAATGCATCGCGGTAAAAACATATATGGAGCTCGTTAAGTCGTCGGTGAATATCTCTAAAATTCAATACTCATTGCATCAAGTCTGAATTCACTCAGTATTTGTCAAAATTTGATGAGTATTTTTTTTTCTTTCCATTAAAAAATTGCAATCTAGAAATGTTTGCGAAAATATCGTAGCCTTCAAAATTCGGAAGGGGATTTTTGAAAATTAAATGTTCTTTTGTACGGTGTTCCTCATTAATTTACATGCATGACGTTCTTAATAGTCAAGGACAAGTCCAACAGTTGACTCTATATGCAACTATGCGTGAAAAATTTTCCATTTTTATTGATACATTAGATTTATTTTAGTTTGATTGGTAAAAACTTGATAAGGTTAGTTCTATGATGACTGAGAGGTGGCTCAAGCCTTTTAAACTTTATCCGAATCAAAAAAAAATGTTCTCGGTTCATTCATTGATTGAGTCGACTTTCTCGCGGCTCTTCGAAAAAGCTCTAGACCGCATTATTATTGGAGAAGCGAAGGCACCCTAAAGACTTGTTCTACGTAAACGCAGGCAAACAAAACGAAACACTTAAACGGGGACCGTAAGAAAATAAGGAATAGATGTTCCAGGTGGCGAGCTTGAGGTTTGGCTGACACGGGAATTTAGTCGTCATTGAACACGTCGCTGGTGGGGCTTTTGGCCGCGTTCATTCAAGTGATGCAGCGTTGCCGACCTAGTTTCTCTCAAGATCGCTCCACCAGTCGTTCAACCCTCGACCTACATTCACGTGCGCTCTGACGTCATTCCTCCCTCCTCTCCGCACCTCCCCTTCGCTCGCTGCACACAAATGCGCACTCGCAAGCAAGCTTAGACCGAACTAGAGCAGTGCAGACATCCGCGACTGACCCAGCCGAGGCGGAAAACTTCCCTATTCATGTTCATTTTTACCGCCAAATCCAAGTCGCTTGTGCAACATTTTTGCGAGCATTTTTGCCCGTTTTTGCCCCCCTCTCACGAACTTATATTTACATATCTCCCGGCTGAGTGTGCACTGCATTGACTCACGTATACCAATTTGATTTTCTTGACCCTACACCTGAATTTGATGCCTTAAACGCGAAAAAAACCGTGGCATTTAAAACAAATTCACGTGTTAAGCGCATCTAAAATGCAAAAATGTATGCGTTCATTGGGTTCCAGATTTGGTTTAATTGTAAACAAAGAATCTTTGCAAAATGCAAAAGTTGAAATGTTTGGGAGCTTGACCCGACAACCTTTGTATCGCGGAAAGAGAAAAAAAAAAAAAAAAAATAGTCACATACATGCGCCACGTACATGACGCAGCCTGAAACGGGCACGATCGATACCTACGTAGTGGAGCATCGTGACTCGCGACTTATGACGCGAGAACGCATGGCGAGAAGCAAACTAGGTGTATAAGTAATATACTTAGCTCGCGCATCTGAACTTGCTCTGTCTCTATTTTTCTTTCTTTCGCTCCCTTGCACATCTGGCGGACGTTGTACTTATCACTAATCAGAGAACTTTATTTCAAGCTGAAAAGTTGGAGTGTTTCGTGCCAAGTGCGTGTCACCGCGCGCATGGATTCAATTCTTTTTTTCATCAACTTCACGTACTGAAAAATATATTACGTTACATTGCTTCTTCTCTACGGAGGGAAAATGATAAATGTCTCAGGTCGCATGTTTTATTGGCACGCGATCTGAGATTTTTTCTTATTTCCTCCTAGAACGTGCGCCTTTGTGGTTTTTTTTTTTTTTTTTTTTTTTTATTAGGTTCCAACCATGACGTGGGAGTTCTTTTCCCCCCCCCCAGTAAAAAAAGTGCTACTTTCGGCCGAGGTACGATATAAAATCATCAATAACCATTCAACTTTTACGGGGTACCTGTAGAAAAAACTATTTTACTTTTGCACTTTAATAATACTCCTCTCCCTAATGATAATATTTTCCTATCGGCACTTAACAACTAATACATAGTCACATAACGTTATTTTTAACGTTTTCAATTTTTTTGCTTCTTTTTTTCAAACGTTTTATAAATTGACAATTGTTTTAGTTATACAATCGTGTACCTACGTTTCTTCATCAACTTCAGCCATTAGCAAACTCTTACTTGTTTCTTTGGTACCTTCATCCGAACTCTGTCCCTCTTCACTTGGCGTTTCGAAATTACGGTGAAAGACTATTTTTAACTAAAATTTTGAAAATGTTACACTTATTTTTTCGTTGTCGACCAAATACTCCTGGCATAGCTGACCCAAGTTTGTTAACGTGTTTAAAACGTACGCATACTACCGGCTTTTCATCAAATTGAGTTGTATACAATGCATTTATTTGAGTTATGGAGCCTCCTTTTCTGCTATTCCACGTCTTTTGGATAACCTTTTTTTCATTTGCTTTTTGAAACATCTGTACAATCAGAAATTTAAATTTACGTACGTCTGAGAGTACCTGTTGACTGCGTCACTTGGCGTTGGCTGTGAGTCAAATATCCTTGTGGACAAAATCATTTTACTTATCGCTTACATGTTGTAATAAAATAATATGGAAGGTGCACATTAAATACGGATGAATACAAATCGCATCATGAAAGACGGCATTATTTTAATCGAAGCGATAAGATGAATCAAACTCATCGTGACGCAAATTGAGGTACGTAAATCACACAAAATTTGTGGTTGGTATAAATAATTTGCGTGTTTCTTACCGATGTTGAAATCTTGAGCTTTTCCAAACTAAAACTTTTGCGATTCAAACATTTGAGCCACTCATTTTTTACTCAAACAAAAAAAATAGGTGCAAAATGTGACTGTCGTTAATTGACGTGGCAGCGTAGGTTCGGTAAAATAAATATTCGCTTAAGTTCATGCATAATTAGGCTTTACACTGGCTTCCCTCGTTTGTAACTTCCCACTTTAAGCCGTAAAAAAACTTCTTCAGCTATAATTTCTTTTTTTTTTTTTTTTTTTTTTTTTTTTTTTTTTTTTTTTCTTTTTTTTTTTATTTTTTTTTTTTTTTTTTTTTTTTATTAGGTTCCAACCATGCCGTGGGAGTTCTTTTCCTTGCGTACATGTGAAAATAAAAAATTTTAAAATAAAAACTTTGTTGCATAAGCTTGTTTAATGCGTGATAACTCACATGAGCAAAACAAGTTATTTTTAAANTTTTTTCTCCTTTTTGATGAATATTTTTTTGGTTTGACTTTAGTTGGAAAAACTGTCCTCCTACCATGATTTGTTGATTAAAAAGTAATGTAAAGCTGTTTGCTGTTCGTCATAAATTGCAGATACTTTTGGAATGTATAAATGTGTGTGAAGTATCAAAAAGAGAAATTAATATCATATAATTTTACAGTATTAAAGGGAAGCCTCGATCGCGGTAAACAGATATATACGGTATGGTCAATATGCGTCAATATGCATATCTCTAAAAGGGTATGGAAATGGCAAAAAGTATACGTGCAGATGATAATATTGTGAATGACGTATCACGTTCTGAATCATTATGAATTTTCTTACTTTACCGACATTTAGCGAGTAGATGTACAATTATAGATTTATGAAGGATGGCTCACTACCACTAGAGAACCGATTGAGTTAGAAATTACTTGAGATAACTTTAGCTAGTTAGCTAGTGAAATACAGGTGTGTTGTCTTCCTTCGAGCTAAGTTAACTCTCGGATCAGCTCTTAAGCCTACTGATTCGATGCCACGACTAATTAATTATTTACAAATGTATCGAATAAAGTTTGGAAACTGCGCGTGGATCTAATTATTGGGAGATACCGTTATTATTTTTATGATTGGGTTATTTTTAGCAACGCCCAGTAATGAGTGGCGATGATGAATTGTTGTAGCCATTAATTGAAATATTTTGTGTGCCCTGTGCGATAATACGTGTTGAAAAACACATTAAATTCAAATGTTATATAAATGGATATATAGTTGATGGAAAAGAATATTTGGAAAATTTTTCAAAGTTTATAAGTATGAGAATAATCACGGTTACACGCCCGAGACATTTATTATTTTTCGTAAAACTTACGGCGCACTTCCTCAAACTATTTGGTTTCAATATTTTTGTCTTGCTCCGTAAAATTTTTTTTGTAAGAAAGTAAACACTCAATTGTCGTCATTCATTACGAAGTTTATCAATATTTGACATTTTTAATCATGATGTAACTTAAAAATGGGTGAATCAAAAAGATAATAAAACAGTCTCCGTTTCTCGTGCGAACTAAACATTTTTGTTTTTCACCTCCTAGCATTCAATTTTTGGTATATATTAATGCCTCTTTATTGTTATTTATTTATTTTTTATTGTTTTCGATCACTTCAAGTTTTTTCTTGTTTTTTAAAATAATTACGTGAGTTTCAACAATAAATTTATGGGTTTATTTTTTTGCCACTGCTGAAACGTGAGTTCATAAAACTGGGTTTTTCTGCGATGGTGTCGTCCACGTTCCCTCAAAAAACCGAAGCAAGTCTTGAAGTAAAATGTAATACGTGTTGTTATTCTATCCATTTCGTGTCCACTGCTGTGCAGGAAGATAAAACATGTCTATCGCAAGTTTTGTTTTATCACCAACAAGCGCTGGTGTCAGATATTTAACTTTCAACCTTGTGCTTATGAAACTTTAAATAGTTATATTTTTTTACCGATAATATAATTGAATTGCCAAAATTTATACCATCAACGTTTTTCAACGCCAATAACCCTACGGAGTTATGAGCTAAATTTTTTTCTCATCTCCGATTGAAAAGAGATATAGCTTATATTTATGTATACACCACCAAGTTTGAAAAATGTAAAACCCTGTATTGAAGGAGGTTTTAGAGGACGGACGAATTAATCTTGGTTTTGTTGACGAAAATACATATATAACAAAACAGACTGAACGAAGAGAGACGCCAAACCTTTGCTTTTAACTTTTTTTCTCTTCATCTCGTGCTTTTTTGGAGATTGAATACTCTCTTAGCAAAAAAACTAAGCATCAATTAACAATGTGCAATGTTATTTTGTGTTGCAGCTGACTGGGTTTTTTCAACAGCCAGTGCCGTACAGTAGCATGACTGAAGTTTACGCTGTCGAGAGGTGGGACCCGACCTATAAATACTGCCTAAGAATCGTTTTGCCTGACGGATCGCTCCTCCTCCAGGCGAGTAATGCCTACACACGGGATCAGTGGTACTACTCTATACTCTGGAAGGTAACATATTATGCTGTTTTGATAAAACAAGACCTAATTTCTTGGATAAATTAATTTGAGTTGAACGATAAAAAAAAATGTGGAAGTGGTTATCATTATCTAAGTAGGTGGTGACTATGTGACTACGTGTGTACGTGTGTGTATATGGTACACAAGTCATTATTTTTAAAGAATTTTATTAGTATCTGTAAGCAACTTGCACTTATAATTTGCAAGTTTGTATCCCCTACAAAATTGATTTATTTGTAGTCGAAGAACATCACAAAAGAAAAATCGGTCAAAAAAAAAAAAAAAATTCTGACCATTATGGATTATGACCAAACATCGAATCCCCGATTCCTTGAATGGTATTATTCTCGTGGCTAGTAGACTTTTAACACGGCAAGCGATCGCTCTCTTTTGAACCCCTTTTGTACATGAGCACATTATTACCATCTGCTATCAGAATGATTTCCATAGGAACAAAAAATTGCCATAAAAGTAACCCTGGCCAACGATCAAGTCAAACATTATGATGTATTTGTATGAAACTAGGTATATAATATTATGTTTAATAGTCAAAAGTGTTGTGCTCCGCCAATGGGAATACAAGCGTATAACAATACCGTAGAGGATCAAATGTCATACCAGATGTATTTGGGTTTTTTTTTTCTCTTTACAGAAGAGCATCTTCAGGTACCAAAAAGTGATGGTGAGCGCGATCAAAGAGGAGATTGTGCTGCGAGAGCTCAAGTCTCTTGTTGACTTTGCCCTTTGGACTCCACTACAGGTCAGTCGGATCGTTTTATTTTCAATAATTTTCCTACCTCGGGCGTTTTTGAGAGGCTGGTGCGCCCTCGGTAGGAAATATAGCTAAGCGCCATCGCTCCGTGGCTCCGTGCTTCGCAGGTCCCTTGGGCCGCAAAATAGCCCCGGAGACGATGGCACTTATCCGACGAAAACTACCATTAAACAAATAAGTACATCTTACGTTTGAGGGACTTGTCGAAATTTCTCGTGCACCTAAAGATGATGCAGTACTCGATTGCCCATACACGTAATGAAATAGGAGATAAACAATGAGGCTGGATAGTATAGTAGTGTAACGTAACGAATTGCAGGACGAGCGGGTAGCCGGCGTGCCTCTGGAGGCAGTGGCTAAGCTACTCGAGGAGCCACCACATCTCGAGCGGTGTCTTGATTACGACAAGAAAAAGCTGGACGATGACGAGGTGGAAAACAACGAGAAAACGGGGGATCAGGAGGAGGAGGAGATGGACGGGCCGCTGATAATCACGGGTCTGAGCGACGAGGACGAAGAGGAGGACGAGAGCGAGCGCGAGGCGCGCTGCTGGGCCGAAGCCGTGCTGGGCGTGGCAGGGCCCCTGTTGGAGCGCGCGGCCCCGCCGGTCGGTCTGGCCCGCGCTCTTGCCCGGCTGGCCCGGCGTCACCCCCGTTCGTCCATCGTCCAGGCACTTCGGCCCGCTGTCACGCGCTGCCTCAAGCACACCGTCGACTTTGGCAAGTCGCCCGACATGCGCCGTTTGCTCCAGGTCTTTGTCGCGGCGCTCCACGAGGCCGTGGACGGTGAGCGCGCCCTCCGGGATTACATTGCCTCGGTTCACGGCCCGGGCAGCGACTGCCCCCATCCCCGGGTCCTCCCCAATCTCGTCTCCATCTGCGTTGCCGCCATATTTCACAGGTAAGCCGCTCTTACAATATGCAGCCATGCGCGTACATCCATCATATACCTATTATACATGATTCTATTAAAACTGACCATTTTTACACAAGCAATAGTTTCGTTTGACTTATATTTAAGCAGGTGAAAGAAAGAGAACAAAAAAATCATAGTAATAAGTAATAAACACGAGTCCACAATATTATGACACTGTTTACTCGACAAGTTTAGCTGGGGCTCAAAGATTTTCTTTCGTGTTCCAGATTTGAAGTGAGCTCTTGCAAGCACCAACAGCCAGAAGAGGGCGCACCCACGTCACTGCCACCCTTAAGATGCTATCTCCTCGTCTTGAATATTGCGTACGTGAATGACGTTACCATTGCTACCTCCTCCTCATACTTATTTTTAGACATCCAACTGTTAACCATGTAAACATCGCGAGTATAGTAAGGCTTTTGCGAGAGGCTCTCTACTCATACACTATGCATGCACCTATATCACTTTTATGCGCACAAATTTTTTTATTTATTTTTTTTTATTTTCTTTTTTACAACTTTGCGTGGTGTGCTTCACAAGTATTATATACATCTATCATAAGTAACTAAAACAATATTCGTGTTACTCCATATTATTATAACATGAGTATTCATTGTTGTTAAATTTTTACCCCATATCTTGATCGAAAGCACAATATTATTTTCATTGCGTGGGAGATAAATCTTACTCTGTTAAAAGAGCTTAGAGAGAGTAAAAAATCTACGGGAGAAATATGCGGTACAAAAAAATTGTAATTTTTCAAAGAGCCACGACTTGAATATTCTGAAGTATCAAATAAAATAATCTTCAGGCCTATTAAAATGAGCCGTGGTTTCTGTTATAAACATAAAAAACACGTCAACGTAAATTGGCTTAGCTGATGCGACACGACGGACGAGCGAAAAGTAACATAGGTGTTTATGCCCGAATGACCAACAGGTCCGAGTACTCGGACTGGCGGCCAGGTTTGGGTGCTCTACTGCAACCAGTTCCGTTTCCCGAAGACGCTCTGGCCAACAAGGAGGTCCAGGACTCGGTGATCTCGTGCGTGATGCATAGATTGGCGAAGGACCCGCGCTGCACGGTCCATCGGGTACTGCTGCCCGTGCGGGAGCCTCGACCCGGTTGGATACACATTGCCGCCCCCTCAAGCCCGGCCTGTCCCGACGATGGCCAGATCTTCGGGGAAATGGTGAGTTTTGTAAAATTTTCAACCAATCCCCATCATCATTATTATCAAGTACAATGATCTTTTCGCTTTATTTCATTTCATTTCACTTCACTTTGCCCCGTTCAACTTGATTTGCAACACCACGCTTCAATACCATACTATGCTCATCGTCATTACCAGAGAACAATTTTTATTTATTTTTTTTTCATCAGGCACATCTCGGTTTGTTACGTTACACTTAATAACAGTGTAACTTACACACAATTGTAATTTTATGTGCAAGAAAATAATATATCCTTTGAAACAACAAAATTTTAACTGTATGTATACTAATCAGAGAAGTGATCGTTCAGTGGGATAGTGGAGCTAATTATATTGCTCATTCAACAGAGTCGAGCTTAGAATTTACAAAATCTCGATAAGCAGTATATACTTGGCTCTTTCAAATACCGATTGCGTGATAAACTTCTTGTCTATATATAATATGGAATGCGTGTGTATATTTTCACCCGTACTTATGGATGATTCAAATATTTTATTTGAAAATTTTAAATATACACCTAGGAGGAGGAATTTAACTTGTTTACTCCTCTCTCTTTCTCTTCGGGGATTCGTGAGTTGTGCATAAAAGTTTATACGTGCTGATCATTCATCCGATGTACTGTTGTGGATGACCCCCACTGTGACTCCCCGTGACTATTCTGGGCACATGGTGCCCTGACATTGAACAATTATCGCGAGTATGAAGAAAAGTGGTGTTTCAGGCCAACTAAATGCATTAGATGACTTACACATATTTAATAACTAATTTTATCAAAACATGTTTTAAAATTTTTTGTTCGTCTAATGTACAGACCCATGTATACGAATTTTAGTTTTATTTGAAATGATTTGGAAAAGGGGTTGAATTGGACCACCACATGTACAATTTTTCATTATTCTATTTTTACAAAATCTGTACAAAATCATAAAATTTCACCTCATTGGGATTACATGAGCTTTGACTCCCCTTGAAAAAAAAATGATCATTCGGTTTTTTAGTCAATAGCATTTCTGGTATGTAAAAGTTATGCACCCGAACTTACTGAACGGTTGGTCGTACGGTTAAAGTTATGTTTTTATTTATTTTTTTTCTCCCTTCCTTGCTAAATAAAAAACTGCAAATCCGTCATATTTATGTCATTGTGGAAATATGCTTCAAATCAACTTGAAAGGCTTATTAATGAAAGGACAGGCAAATTGTTGAGATACATTGAAACTTTGAAAATGTGTCAGCTCGTAGCTCGTCAAGCTGCTTTATTATGTTAACCCAAACATATTGATGCGATGACCTTTTTCTACTACTTGAGCTTATACTAACTAACTTTATTATGGGCGTCATCATTGCTTATTCATGCGTCATACGTAACAATATCAAGGTATAACATATACTCATGGAACAAAGTGTTAGTTGAACGAAAGTAGGTACCTATAGTTAGTTGCATTTACGAGAAACTTTATTTGTAGGTACACATATGATAGGTAAACCATTACCATACGTATAACGTAACACATAAAAACCTTCATCAGAGCACATATTATATTATATGCTTATTTTTCTCTGAATGTGTAGTAATTTATTGTAAATATAGGTGTTGTAGGATCAACGAGGGAGGTGGAAAGGAAAAAAAAAAAAAAAAAAAAAAAAAAAAAAAAAGAAAAAAAATTGGATTTTGTTGTTTTTGGTAATAAACAAACGATTTAAACATTGTATACGCAGTTGACAACACTGCTGGCTTGCTGTTGCCGAAGGAAACGCTTCATAAGCTCGTTGCTGAAGCAGACGGGCGGCGCGTGCGTCTTACTGGGGGTGCGGGGTTGCGACGCGGCCCAGGAGGCGCTGTGCCTCATGCTCGAGTGGCGCCTACTGCCCAACGAGGAGGCCCGGCTCCAAGTCGTCTCGGCCCTACAGTCCACCGAGTCCGGCAAAACCAGATACGCGGCGCTCTGCCAGAGACAGAAGAACCTCCAGGAGCTCGTATGTTCCCTTTCATTCGGTACCCCTTGATGTCAATAATCCCCCGCACAATGTACCTATGCGCGTTACCCCTTCGTTCGAGCTGTTTCGTACTCTTCCTCACCTTTCCCGTGCATCCAAGTGTCACCACTGTAGGTATACTTATGTATAATATTATTGAGCACGTAAAATTAACGTTACAGCAACAAAAGGGTGGCCCGCGCAAGCTCACGCTGCCAGTTCGGGCGACAGACGCGGACGTGGCATTGCTACTGGGCAACGGTGCTCTCGGCAACCTCGAGTGCCTGAGCTTGGCCTTTACTTCTGTCACTTCGGCGTGCGCCGAGCAGCTCATCAAGCTACCCGCCCTCAGGTACCTCAACCTATGGGCCACGCAATTTGGTGACACTGGCTTGCAGATGATAAGCGAACACCTACAAAAGCTCCAAGTGCTCAATCTCTGCGAGACGCCTGTCTCCGACAAGGGTATTTCCACCCTTGCCTGTGAGTCTCTTTCTCTTTTTTTTTTTTTTTTTCATGAAATTGATTCTTGTTTTCATGATAATTTTCCGCTACAGAAAAATGTTACAAACGAGTCCTTTAATGAAACTATAAGCCTCTCGGCTCATGGGGCAAGCGATACCATCTAAAAAAATTGATTTTACATCGCGTGACTCATGTCCAGTTGATCCCTGCCCGATTTGTACTACATACATATACGTGCCTTACCGTTGGATTGATCACGCGATTTCTTTGTTTGTTGATGGACGTTTGAAAGCCCGGTTTTGTTGTAATGATATAAAAGAACTTGAATGTACAGACCAAGTAAATATTGAGAAGATTTATTAAAAAAAAAAAAAAAAAAAAAAAAAAATTATAAGAAAGTAAATGTGTTGATTCGATTGATGTTCGAGGGTTATCGCGCCAACAACCCGCGCTAAGTAAATTAACAAAAATAAACGCATTAAATGATGTTTGCAGCTCTGACAAATCTGCGCAAGCTGAACTTGAACAGCACGAAACTGTCGGCTTCGACCTTTGAGGCTCTGAAGAAGCAGCTGCCCTCCTTGCAGGAGTTTGACGTGCGCTACACCGAAGCCTGGTGACCCGAGTACACGCCCAAGACGCCGTCCAACGGCTGTTCTCGGGAAAACTCGCGACGCGCGAAAAAGTTCGCCTAAACGGGAATCAGCGATGGGGTACGGGGAGGACCGGCCGAAACTTGGTGCCTATCGCATGCATGAGATGATAAATAAGGGGACAGATGGATCCGATGGTGACGGAAGATGAGAAAATAGTTAATCAATTACAAATATTGGTCGCTATGTTTTTTGGCAGCGCTGCCGCCTATCGTAGTTTACCACTATCATTCGTACCCTAACTCGGCAGGATGTTTGTCCCAAAACTTTCCCTCAAAAGATCCGACGATGTCAAATCATCTATAACACATCGTAATGGATACAGCAATTCACTACACCTATACAATATTATTGTAAGACTCCATGGTGACGGTCATCACTGTATACCTGCACCAGCGGGCCCCATCGGTACTTGTACATTATTTATGAATCTACCTCATGAATCATCTTTTGTTCAAAAGTTTTGGGACAAAAATACCCTCGTACCAGCTACACGTACTTCACCCACCCGACGTTGTCGTTTGACGAAAAAAAAAAATTAATCTACTGTTATACTGCACCCAATTCCACCTCACTTTTCCTCCTTCCCTCTTCTTCTCTTCATCCAACATTGCCTTTTGATCACTAAATATTTTATAATCTCCGTTTGCGCTTTCAGGCGAATATAAACAGTTCCAAGTAAGTTACGCGTAAACGCTATCTACTAATTACTACAGCTAACTTCGATCTTACCATTTCTTCAGGTTTAATCGGCCGAGAGGCCAGCCATCCCAATCCCTTAATCGACAGATTACCCTTCCTGTTAAGCGGGCTCTTAATTTCGAGTTGTTTCACTTTTGTACTGTACCTGTGCAAAGTATTATTATTACATACAATTGTTACGTTGTACAAGAATTTAATTCCAAGTTTGTTCCTATGTTAAACTTGATCAATAATCAATGGCACATAAATACATGTCGTATAAGTACATGCATTCGTTATAGAAATACACGTTATAGTATAGTTTTTCGTTGATTTCTAAGGTGCAAGCAATACTAAAAAAAAAAAAATAAAATAAAAAATCACTAAATACATTTTTTAAGTATTATAATTATACATTCGTTCGTCTTCGATGATGACATAAATTAACCTTGGCGTTAGGTGTTTGCATTTGTCCCTATAGATAAAAATACTATGCGGCGAAAGTTTTCTCTGAAAGTTATATCTCTTCAGGTGTATGTAAATATTCGTAATTATTAACTCGAATGTTCACTGAAGCCATGCCATTTAAAATAAACAAAAAATTACTTGAATGTTGCATTTTTCAAACAAACGGATATGAATTCATTAGATTGGACTTTTGGTTCAATTAAGTTGTTTCGCTAAACAATGAATGCCTGATTTTTATTAAAAAGTATGATGGGTATACACGTTTTTTAAAAAAACTGCATTGATACTACTTGAGATATCTCTCAATAAATTAATTTTTTTCCCATAATCGACTGTATTGGATGAAACCGTCTATTTTTGATCATGTACAAGATAAAAATGTCAGCCAGACAAAAAACATTATGTTTTTGCTTAAAAAAAAAAAAAAAAAAAAAATCAATTTCCATTAAAAAAGAAAAAAAATAATAATAAAAAAAAACTAATGGAGCAAGGCCCAATTATCACATCGAAAGTTTCTCTATGCGTTTTCTGCACATATCAATGTGAATTGTCCAAGCGGACGTACGATTTTAAATTAATACGGTACATAATTACTTATTGTGAAATTTATTGACTTTTCGAATGTCACTCAACTATATGAAGTTTTCAGATGGTTTTGAGCACAGATAGTATAAAGATATACAATAAAATTAATTAAAATCTACGAAAGCTTGGTGAAAGTCTAAGAAAATCTAACAACCTTGCGGGTGGTGGTGTATTCGTGTAAGTGTGAATATATGTCTTGACCGTAAAATTGAAAAATTGAAAAACAAAAAAAAAATAAAATAAAATACACGCTTAGAAGAGACTGAAAACGGTGGAGAAATAAAAATTTTCATTTATCGAAGAAAAATTACACTTTTTAAAGTTTTGAAATAATAAGATTTAAGAAGCATACACGTCACTTTACGTCGATTCGAATGTCTCTGCTGGTTGAATTATTGAGAATTTTTGAATTTTGAATTAATTTTTATTTGTACATAAACAAGTTGAGAAAGTTGCCACTGATCGCACATAGTACCAATTATAATTAATAATAATTAATAACAATAATAGTAATAATAGTAATTTTGATTCTATGTATTCCTTAATGCAAGGTCTGAAATTAATTTCAATACCATTTCCAGTCGTAGACGAAAAGTAGGGTAGCAGCCGTTCATTAAAAGTTAAAATGAGAAAAAAAAAAAATTAAACTCGCGACTGACTGCCCTAGCAAAGAAAAGATCAAATAAATATATACATTCAAAGTCTTATACCATAAATATTGCGATTTAAGTGTAAACACTGCCAGGTGCTCCTGTTCGACGTCAAGTATTAGACGACCGGCCAGTCTTGCGGCAAGGGCACGCCGATTTATCGATTTTGTGCATTTGCATTGATATGTAGGATTGTTGCAAGCATCCTATATATGTATATTAAAACACGAAAGATAAAATATTTCAAAAAGAAAAATCACAAACACATTGTAATGATTAAATAAAATCGATTTTAGTGTACATAAGTAAGCGCAAGGAAAAAAAGTTATAAGATTAATTGTTTATTTCAAATAGATCATATTTATACGTAACGTTAATATTATATAAATATACTCTGGAAGGTAACATATTATGC